CACCTGGAGCACAGTATGCTCTCATCAGCTGTCACTGTGCACATCTTTGCACTGCTTTGTGGCAGGTTTAGTTGTAATACCAAGCAAAAATAACTTCAACGCAGTTCACGTCTGCTTTTACACCAATACTCAAACCAGGACCAGAATTTGTCATCTGACCTGTCTCAAGTTATTAAAAATAATAATCATACAGTATTTGTATTTCTGAGACTGGCTTATTTCACGTAGCAAAATGTTCTCCAGGTTCATCCATATTGTTGCAAATGATAGAATTTTCTTCTTTTTTAAGGCTAAATAATTGTATTAGTCCATTTTCTGTTAATGATAATATAATATCTGAAACTTGATAATTTATAAAGGAAAGGAATTTATTTCTTACAGTTAACAGAGGCTGAGAAGCCCCAGGTCGAGGGGCAGCATCTGGTGGGGACTTCTTGTTGGAGGGGCCTCTCTGCAGGATCCCAAGGCAATGCAGGGCGTCACTTGGTGGGGGGCTGAGCATGCTCGTGTGCTGGCTCAGGTCTCTCTTCCTCTTCTCATAAAGCCACCCATCCCCTCCCACAATAACCCATTGATCCATTAGTCCATGAGTGGATTAATCCATTTACGAGGTCAGAGCCCTCATGACTCAATCACCTCTTAAAGCCCCCACATCTCAAAACTGCCACATCAGGGGTTAAGTGTCAATATGAGTTTTGGAGGGGACATTCAAGCCATAGAAATAATATTCCATTATATGTGTAGACCACATTTTCTTTATCTGTCAATGGATATTTGGGTTGTGTTCATATTTTGGCTATTATGAATAATGCTGTAATGGACATGGGAGGGGAGGTCCTGATTTCAATTGTTTGGGGTATATACCCAGAAGTAGAAATGCTGAATCATACGGTAGTTCTATTTTTAACATTTTTGAGGAAACTCTGTAGTGTTCTCCATGGTGGCTACAGCATTTTACATTCCCATCAATGGTGTTCAAGGTTTCAGATTTCTCCACATCCTCACCAACACTTACCTTTTGGGTGTTTTGTTTTGTTTGATAATAGCTATCCTAAGAGGTATGAGGTGATATCTCATTATAGTTTTGCTTTGCATTTCCATGATGATTAGTGATGTTGAGCACCTGTTCATATACCTGGTATCCATTTGTATGTGTTCTTTGGAGAAATGCCTATTCAAGCCTTTTTCCCATTTTTAAATCAGATTATTTGGAGGGGTTGTTTTGTTGTTTTATTTGGTTTTTGCTATTGAGTTCCAGGAATTTTTAAAATCTAATTTGAATATTAACTCATCAGTTAAATGGTTTGCAAGCATTTTCTCCTATCCCATAGATTGTCATTTCACTCTTATGATTATTTCCTTTGCTTTACAGAAGCTTTTAAGTATGATGTAGTCCCACTTGTCTATGTTTGCTTTTATTGCCTGTGCTTTTGGTGTTGTATTCGAGAAATCGTTGCCAAGACTAATGTCAAGAAGGTTTTCTACAGATATAAGGTATCTGGAATAGTCAGATCCTAAAAATGGTGGTTTCCAAGCCCTGAAGGCGGGGGAGATAGGGAGTTGTTCAGTGGGTGTGAAGTTTCAGTTATTTGAGATAAGTAAGTTCTAGAGCTCTCCTGTGCAACATAGTGCCTATGTTAACAACATGGTATTGCGCACTAAAACATTGGTTAGCAGGGTAGAATTCCTGTTAAGCATTCTTACCACCTCCCACTCACACACACAAACACACGAACAAAAGAAAACTTTTGGAGGTAATGGATGTTTAGTACCTCAGTTGTGTTGATAGTATCACATGGGTGCATACATATGTCCAAACTCATCAAATTGTATACATTATATATGTGCAGGGTTTTTTTTTAATTTTAGTTATACCTCAATAAAGCTGTTAAAAAAAAGAAAATAAAAAATTATAAATTAGCATTAACATTAAATTTCTTTTTCCAGCATCCATCCTTCCTCTAATAACTGAGCTGCCCCACCATCCTCCCCACCCAGTTCTCAACCATTAACTCTCCTGAATAAATACTTGGCTGCAGCCAAACTGGTCCCTGCTCTGTTCCCACAGTGCCCCACTGGGCTTATTTTGTTCACGCTATTCAACTGTCTGGAAACAGCCTCTCCCTGACATTCCCTTCCCACTCCTCCCCAACCTGTGTACCTCAGTGTCCCTACCCCTCCAGGGAATCTTCCCTGGGCCGCCCAGCCCGCACAGAGCTTTCATTTCTCTGAACATGAACATTGTCTCTATCAGTCATTTAGCAATTAATCATGCTGCACAAAAGCTATCCTACTGTGGCATTGAAATATAAAATTGTTATTTTATTTTGAGTGTTTACATATTGTCTCCTAAACTAAACTGAAAGCTCATTCACGAACCGTGTCAATTCAAGGAATCTATTCAATTTATCAAAATTCTTCCTAAGCTTTTTAAGCCAAAGGAAAATTTACAAAAACAAATTAGACTTTCTTTTCCTTTATGGAAAGGATGTGTGACTACAGAAAGAGACCTGGATTAGAATGCCAAGGGTGAGAATTCAAGTTTAAATGCTGCCACTCTCAAACCATCTGAGCTTGGATAAGTTACTTAGCCCCATGAACTATTTGCAAAGGGAAACACTCTTCCACAAGATTTTGTTTTTGGAGATGGGGTGGGAGGGTTCCAAGCAGAGGGAACAGAGTATGAAAGGTCTTTGGAGAAAAAAGAGCTTGATATGTTCAGGGAAATGAAAGTAAGCCAGGCTGGTTATACTAATTGAGTATTTATTATGAACTGACATTTTCTTAGCATTTTGCATGTATTATCTCACTTTAATCATCATTATAGCTCTAAAAGAATTAACCTTACAGTTTGGTAAGTTGAGATTTAGAGAAGTGAAGTCATTTGGCTGTACAGCTAGTGCATGCCAGAGCTGGGATTTCAACTCAGGCAACTTGTTCCAGGCCTGACCTCTTCCATTGCTGTCATTATCACACCTCCTGCAGAGAGGCTGGACCGAGTCCTGCAAAGCAGTGGAGACCTGGCCAGTGGGTGTAGACGTTCCATTAAGCATAATAGAAAGTACTTATTATGTATAATAAAACTATTCAACGGTTTTAAGCAGGGAAGAGCCCAATAATGTTCTGCAGTAAGAAGGTCACCCTTTAACAATAGATTTTATCAGAGTACAACCTACATACAAAAAAGTGAACAATATCCAGTTTGATAAAATATTTCAAATGAAACACACTTGTGTTAGCAACACCCAAATAAAAAAAATCATAAGCAAAATAAATATAAAGATGCCTCATGCTCCCTTCCAAATGCTACCCATCTCCCAAGAGTACTTACGTTGCTAACTGTAAACACTATAGGTTAGGTTTGCAGATTTTATAAGTTTATGCACATGAAACCACATAGCATGTTATCTTTTGTGTTTGGCTTTTTTTCCTCAAAGTGGTTTGTGAAATTCACCCATAGGTTGTCTATAATTGTAGGTCATCCATCTTCATTGTTACTATATAATCTATTCAATTGAACACATTACCTTGTTGGATCATTCTACTCTAGATGGCCTTTTGGTTTGTAAATGTCCAGTTTTGGGTTACGATGAAAATTGTGGCTCTGAATATGTTTGTTCTTATTATAGATACATACAAACACACATAATTCTTTCAGGACTATACATTAAACCAGAACGGCTGAGTCACAAAGCATACCCATGTGAACATGCCATTTACTGTCACCTGCTGAGTTTTGAGAGGGTGATCACCTTAGGTGCTTGGACCCCATCTCATTTCTCCTTGTGTCCTCATTGCTGGGGGAGAGGTGGTGCGGAAGGAGCACTGTTGGAGTGGGCGAGCAGACCACCGAGTCATCCTGTCTGGTCCTACAAACATCTCTGCAGTAAGTTTCCTAATGTGTCCCTCATACAGAGGAGGACACAGAAGCTCAGAGAGCTCAAGTGTCTTGCAGAACCATATAAAGATACAATATGAATCCACATCTGTCCAAATCCAAATACCAAACTTGATTTTGAATCATAGCTAGATAGGTAACATATTTTTACATATTTGACCAAAAACACTGTTTAAAATGTTATTCTAAAGGAAATACAGGTGTAATACACCTTCCCCACACATGTATATACATATGGACACACAAGGTCATGCTATTCCTTATATGCAAGACATAAATACATGTCTGTTTAGATGTAGTATGCATGCATGTGTGTGTATTTATACTAACAAATCTGTGATTGGTGTCACCATTTTAACGGTGAGGACAGTGGTTTTTGGAGAAGGTAAACATGTTAATCCAGCCTCTAGGGTGACCGAGTTGCTATTTGTCTCATGCTGAAGACAGGTGTGCCTGACTGTGACCACCACGGTTATTCCCATGTATTTGCAGAGCGTTCCTGCAGGCTATGCTGCATAAGGAAATGGTATACCTGTATGTAGTTTATGCTCAAAGTAGGTATGTTCTATCGGATTTCATTACATACGTGTGTAGAGATAACATGCTGCCATCTGCATTTAAGGTTCCTGTTTCTATACCTGTTTAATGTAAACGGATCTACATGACATATACATATGCAGGTAGGAAGATAATTTTTGCTGGCTTAAGAGTAGAATTGTTTTTATCCTCTTTTAATGTGCTTTTTCCTTGCTTACCTGGCATGACATTAATCATGGGACATTTAAAATGACTTTAAATTCAATTTTCTTTCCTCCTTGAATGCCAGCCACATAGCCCTGTTTACAAGGGAGCATTAAACAAAAGCGGAGGAAGAGAAAAAAAGGTTCAATCAATTTTCCTTCTTGCTAATTGGGGATTTATTACTGGTTGGTTTGCTCACAATGGCAGGGAGCAGATATGCTGGGACCTGGGGTGCTAATTGTAATGCATATGGTGTTGCTGGGTTACTCTCCCCAGCCACCTCACAAGGGAGGGAGGGATGAAGACAATGGGATGAAGATGTTGTAATGCATGTGCTCATTGCTCTCTCTGCAGGGTGGGAGCAGCTCTCTGGAGGTTGGTGGGCTTATCCTCTCACATGCTGAGCTTTAGCAGAAGGGGGTTATGCCTCCATGGACTGTGTGCTGTCATTCAGTCACTGACTCGCATACTCATAGTTTGATAAACATTAACTGACTTCCTACTAAGCATGAAGCCTGTGCTGGGCCCTGTGGTGTTCGGGGACCTCCAGCCTACAGGGAGCCAAAAGTGTAAGGAGAGACACAGGTTGTGAACAGATAAGGACCCTACAGCCTCACGCGTGTTCCACTGCAGGTGAGGACTCAGGGGGACAAAAAAAATCATCCTGGGGTTCAGAGGATGGCAAGTGGCCAAGTTTTGAAGGGTGAATAGGAGTTCAGAGAGTAAAGAAGCAGGGGCATTCCAGAGGATGTCCTGGAAGCCCAGAGATGCTATTCTGAGGCAGAGCAAGTGGCAGATGAGAATGGAGTATGGCTGAGGGAACCTGGGTAACCATTGCCATCCCTGTCCCTCATGTGGCCTTCGGTCCCCATGGAGAGTGTCCTTGACAGTGTTCAGCATCCATAGCAGACAGAGCCCTCGGGGCCCTGGGAGAGCACAGTTCAGAGAGTCATATCTGGCACTCAGAGGAGACCTGACATTGCCTGGGGGCTGTTTTAGGAGGGAAGAGTGGTGTAGACAAATGTTCGAAGAAAGAGCAGCAGAGCCAAGAAGTCAAGAGATGGATGCCAGGAAGGTAGAGAAGAGGGGAGAGAGAGCCAACCCTGCCTGCATGGAGTGCCGAGACCCCTGGGTGGCCTAGAGTGGCTGGTGGATGCCAGCGATAGTGCACTTGCGGCCACTCTGGAGATGCATGGCTCAGTGCTAGCTTATTAACAACTTGGATAAAGACTGGCCAGGCAAATTGTTAAAAGATAAACTTAGGCACATTAAAATTTTAATGAGTTTATTTGAGCATTCAGTGATCCATGAAGCAGGCAGCACCAGACACAAATGGTTTGGTGCTTCACCTTGGGGACAAGATGGGGCTGCTTCCATAATGTGCTTATGGAAAAGACAAAGAAAATCTACCCAAAAGAACAAATGACATTCTATAAAAAAGACTTCTGCACTAGAATGTTTACAGTAGCACAATTCATAATTGCAAAGATGTGGAAACAACCCAAGTGCCCATCAATACATGAATGGATTAATAAAATGTAGTATGTATATACCGTGGAGTTCTACTCAGCCACATAAAACAATGGTGATCTAACACCGCTTGTATTATCCTGGATAAAGCTAGAACCCATTCTATGAATTGAAGCATCACAAGAATAGAAAAATAAGCACCACATGTACTCATCATCAAATTGGTATTGATGATTAACTGGTGTCATTAACTGATGATGATTAATGGTGTCATTAACTGATCAACATTCATATGCACATATAGCAGTACCATTCATCAGGCAGATGGGATGGGGAGCAAGGGATGGGTAGATACACACCCAGTGGGTGAGGTTCATACCATCTGGGGCAGGGGTCCTCAAACTATGGCCCATGGGCCACATGCAGCCCACCGAGGACATTTATCCAGCCCACCACGTGTTTTTGCCGTCGCTGCCTGTCCTGCTCAGCAGCCAACTAGTCCTGGGCCCACAGTGCGCATGTGTGGAATGTGCGCCGCACTCTCCAATGGCCCTCCAACAGTCTGAGGGACAGTGAACTGGCCCCCTGTTTAAAAAGTTTGAGGACCCCTGGCTCTGGGGAATGGACATGCTTGAAGCTCTGACTCGGCTGGGGCAAGGGTAATATAATATATGTAACCTAAACATTTGTACCCCCATAATATGCTGAAGTAAAAAAAAAATTTAAAAAAAATATCTGATTGGTTAGATTGGAAAGACCCCAGTTAGAGGTTAGTTGACAGTCACCAGTTGGTTAAATTTCATTTTGCTATTTGCATTGAGTTGGGTATCAGTTTGCTTATGTAAGAACACAAGCCACTGGAGAGCTCTCAGCCCTGTGGCCTTCAATTCATTATTTTAACAGCCCTGCACGTATAGTTTAGAAAATTCATTCCCACTCAGAGCCCCATCTGAACCTCTCAACAGCCCCCGGACATGGCCTGGTATCTGCATTGTGCTGATGGGGACACAAAGGTTGTGCCTCTGGTCCATCAGGACCCGCCTTCCCAAAGCTCTGCCCTCAGCTCCCCTCCAATTATCCAGCAGGGCTGGCAGCTACAGGAAGAGCTTGCTGGATACCCTGGGTAACCCCCTCCTGTCTGTGCTCCTGGCCTCAACCCCCTGTGGGGGGGAGAGGAAACTTCCCCTTCACCCCCAAAATTCTCTGAAAGATCAACTCATAATAAGGCAGATTAATAAGAGAAGGAGATTTATTTACAATGTGCACAGGGAGAATCGCAGAGTGATTACCCAATATCTCAGTGGGGTCCACAAACTTATATACCCTCATTTTAGAGGGGATAGGGAGATGAGAAATATAGGTTCTTCTATTTAGGGGCAATAAATGGCTACTAAGTAGGATGAATAGATGCTTGGGAGAATGAATGGATGGGGAAAACAGATTGACTTGTAAATGATTCTCTTTGGAAGTTAAATTAACCTGGTATTATAGACAGGTATTATATCTAAAATGATTTGGGCCAGGTCTTATTGCATTCTTGATCTCCTTTCCTACAATATATTGAGATAACAGGGAGGGGAAGGAAAGACAGTTGTTCTTTTTGATGGGTTTTATGCAGATAGAAGGAAAGCCCCTTCCAATGCCTGTTGATCTCTAAGGGCCTTTAATTCAAAATACTCTTTATACCAAGGAGTTGCATTTTGGGGTGAAATTTCCTGAGCTCCTTCACCCTGCATGGTCCGGCCCTGCCTCCCTCTCCTATTCTTCCTGATGGATTTGCCTCCTCTCTGTTGTAGTCTGACCACTCTGACCTGTTTTCCGATTCTTTTGTCTTTCTGCCTCAGGGTCTTAGTGTCTACTGTTCCTGCTGCCTGGACAGATCAATAATCCTCCCCCTTCCCTCCCAGCTCACTCCTACAGAGCTCAGGCCTTCTGAAGCTAAGTCATCACTCTACCTAAAGTAGCCCCACCCACATTCTTCACCTTTATAATTTAAGTCAAATTCAGAAATTATACATTTATTCATGTGATTTTTGTTTAAGGTCTCCTACCCTCAATAGTCTTAGGGCTATAGGCATATTCTTATTCCCTCTTAGGACATAGAACAAAGTTTGGCTCACAGTAACTGATCAAAAAATATTTTAAATGAAAATATACATTTAAGAAGGTTACAAAGAATTAGGGTACAGTTAAGACTTGAAAAAAAGTTTCTGGCTCCAACCATGTGCCCTTGTGATAACATTGCACTACCTTTGTGTGGCCTTGAGCAAATCACTCCATTCTCTCTGGTGTAAATCTACCCACCTGTAAGAGGAAGGCTCTGCAGAAAGTGCCACCGGGTCTTTTTTTTTTTTTTTTACCCCCACCAGGCACCCAACAGCCTGTGAAAGGCCGCCCCCTGGCGGTCCCCTACTGACAGCAGCACCGACAGTAAGTACATAAGCCACAAAGTCAAGATTAATGGGCCACACAGAAAAGATGATTTCCCATAGTACCATGGCTTATTTGACAATCAGCTGTCAGCATTAAGGACTCTGGCCATCAGACTTTCTGTCATTTTCTGCAGGTGTCTCTGGTTATAGGAAGCTCATCTCTTTGTTCACAAATGGATCTGAGAAGTCAAAACTGGAAGGAATCTCAGCCATGGAATCATCTAGTTCAGATACACACAGCACATGGCACTCATATCACCCCTCCCATGCTGCACACTGACAGGCATTACTAATAGATAACAGCACTCTTTCAACATACACCACTGCAGACAGCCATTAGCAATCAATCTGAGGTGACCTGCTGAATGACAGCTGAAGTAGTTAGGGTGCCTGGTAGGAAACACACATCCGACACAGCTGAAATTTTTGAAGAGACTGTGAATAAAAACACTCTTTACATAAGGGCTGTAACCTTGTGATCAGGGTTAAGAGGACCAACAGAATTCCAAGTCACCAGGGGCTAGCAGCAATGGGTTTGGGGTGCAGGACACGTCTACCCCTAAAGAAGAAGGGAGGGAAGGAATCAGCCTCAAGAGTTGGGTTTAAAGCTGGAGCCATAGAGAGGGGCTGCCTGACCCACTAACACAGGGAAGGAGCAGAGGAATACCCCCCCCCAACTTATCCCTCCTCTGCCCTCTAGCCTGCAGCCAGCCTGGAAGACAGGAGGCAGTGGACAGTCAGTGACACATTTCCCTGGGGTCAGTCAAGTCCCTAGGACACAGGGCAGGACAGGGGAAGTCTGTGCATGGAGTCTCCTGATCACAACATGGGGCAAACCTCTGGGTCTGGGAGTCTGTCTCAGGTCAGGTACCTGAAAGCAGAGCACAAGGCAGGGATTTGAAATCACAGGACTTGTTAAGGGCATGACACTCAGGAAGAACCCGAGAGAGTGAGGGAAGCAAGACCCACAGTTGGGGACAGTCTTGACAGAGCTCAGGCAAGAGCTCCCCTCAGGCAATGGCTGGCTGGGTGTGCTCCCTCACCAGCCACACCAGGCTGCCAGCTGTCGCTCAGGAGGGCACCCCCTCTCTGGCAAGGACACATCTCAGGAAGAGTCACCAAGAGCCCTCTGCAGAGGACACTCATAGCAGGTGGGGAGGGGTGCAGACCCCACCGAGCACCAGCTGCACCCGCCGCAGGGCAGACATGAGGGTTTTACCCAATCTCAGCTGCTTATTAGGGGCCTAACTACAGGCAAGTGTTTAACTTCTTTGGGCCTCAGTGTGGCCATCTATAAAATAATCTTCAGTGTCAGTATGAGGAATAGGTTAATTACAGCATGTAGAGCCCCTAGAACAGAGTAGGCTGCACCTCCTTCTTTCCTTCCCAGCCAATGCTCCTTCACCTCTAGCAGCCCAAAATGTAGGGTCATGGAGACCTGACCCTCCACAGGTCAGGGGCAGGGGTGAGGGGTGGGGGAGACGGGTGAGGGTCGGGGGGACAAGGGTGAGGAGTGGGGAGGGCAGGGGCAGCAGTAGGTTGCTCTTTCATTAGGCAGCAGAGCCCAGGGCCTGGCCCCAGGACTCATTCCAGCCCCTTAGAGGAGCAGGGCTGTGAGAAGTAAAGGCTGGGCCCCAGTGGGCGGATGGTGAAAATCCATGAGTGAGGCTGAGGCATTCTTCCAGAAATAAGACAGGATTATGAGAACTGAATCATTGGATCAGCTTGAACTGATGCTAAGTGTCCCTGGATGCTCCTGCAAAATCTTCCCTGAGTAAGAAGATGCTGCTACTGTAGCATTTAGCAAGGTACCTTGCAAATAGAAGCCATTGAATAAATGGCATTTATAATATAAGTGGCATCCAAGCGGCTCTGGCTAATTGCTGGAGGTGTTGCCACAAAGGTTCCATGAGAGCTGTGAGCTGAATCGTGCCCCCCTGAAATTCACATGTTGAAGCCCTAATGTGTTAAGGTTAGAGGAAGTTCTAAGGGTGGGGCCTTAATCCGACAGGACTATGGCCTTGCAAGAATAAGAAGAGAGGAGAGAGAGATCTGTCTCCTTCTGCCAGATGACGACAGGAAGGCAGCCGATTGCAAACCAAGAGAACCCACAGCAGAGCCTGGTGCGTGCCAGCACCCTGATCTCAGACCTCCGGCCTCCAGAACTGTGAGAAATGAATGTGAGTTGAAGCCCCCAGCTGTGGCATTTGTGACAGCAGCCCAAGCTGAGGACGCCAGTGAGGAATGCAGATGAGAGCCGTCCAGCCCTCCTGGTGCAGAGGCCAGAGTGGTTCCCTCCCATCTCTGTGGCAGGGCTGGGGACAGGAGGAAGGAGTGGAGCCCTCGCTTCTGGGAGCAGGGAAGGGGTTGTGGCGGAAGGGATATTGAAGTTGGCCCTGAAGACCATGGGCTTGAGGCGGAGGTAGGAAGCCTTCCTGGAAAAAGAAACCTGCCGCAGGTTGGAGCAGGGGAGGTTTCACCTACAGCTGTTCTTTCAAGACTGACTCATCTTGCATTCATTCAGAAGATATTTATTGAGATCTGCTGTTTGCCAGGCCTCCCGCAAGGGGCAGAGGAAACTGAAGTAGTAAGAGTCAGTCAGTAAAGGGGATCATGACTGGGTTCTAACTTCAGGGGGAAGAAGGTTGGGGTGCAGGGACATGGCCATTCCTTGGTGAGACAGAGATCACATGATATATGCTGCATTCCTTGTCATCTTATGTGCTTGTCTTCATACTCCTGCCTCTTGGCTTCAGAATCTAAGGTTCTCATCCATCACCACCTTGAATGTGCTCAAAAGGCTCCTCCAAAGAGTCTCTGGCAGGTGGGGTGTTCGGGGTGAGGCCCCCCCCACCATGTTTATGTCTTCAGAGCGCTCAGCATGCAATGGGAGAGAGCAGTGGCCAAAGTAATGGTGCAGTGCAGGATCCTGAGAATAGGAGACCTTTGCAGGGCCGCAGGTGAAGGGAAGAGGGCCAGCTACCCTCCATGGCCACCTGGCTCACAGCTACCCTGGACGCAGGGCTGGGAAAGTGTCCTGGGAAGGGCACATCTTAGTTCCGATGTGGGCAGTGGTTTCCATGCTTGGTCAAGGGAACAAAACAACAGTACTGGGGGGCAGCTCCCCTGCATTTGGGGCATCAGTGGCCCTCACCCCTAGCACCAGGCTGGGGAGGGGTGAGGGCCAGATCAGAGGGAGTCCATATAGAAGTTTGGACTTTATACTGGCTAAACAAGAAGAACAGGAAAAGATTCACAGGCCAGAACTGCATTTTTGAAAGATCCTTTTCCAGCACTGGAGATGGAGGCAGGTGGACAGAACACATTCGCAAGCCTCCCGGTCAAAACACCGTCAGTTCCCTGACCTGCTCACCTCGCCTTCCCCACGCCTGGAAGTCCAGCGAAACCCCCACTTCCCCACACAGGTTTTCTTCCCGCAGGCTGCTTGCCCAACTGGACATGGGAAGTTTGATTCCTTTTCTTTAAAATCAGCCAGTAAAGAGGGGCAGAATTGAAGGCAAGTGTCCAAACTAGTGCTGTGGACCCTCACAGGAGAAGTGGTGGGCTTTAATGTGGGCAAAGATTTTGCTGAAAATGAGTCTCATACAGGGCCTCTGCATGGGTTGGGAGAGCTCAGAACCAAAGCAATTAGGTGAGACCTTCTCTGGCTTAACAAGTCCAGGCAACTCTTGCTTCTCAAACTCTGGTAAGTTTGCCTCTTCACCAATACCCTAGCCCAGTAAATGGTGCTCACTTTACTGGAAAGTGATGCACTTGATTCAAAACACAACCGAAATCACCACCTGCTCCCTGCCTCCACCCTTCAATCTCACCCAACCTATCAACCACCTGCGCTTCAGCTTCCATGCTTGTCCTCAAGAGCAAGCCCATGACCTTCCGTGACCTCTGAGAGCATGTTTCTGATTGTGGTTGCATCTTGGCCTCTGCAGTTACCTGCTCCTTCAACACACACACACACACACACACACACACACACACACACACACACGAACTACTGTAATCAGCCCTGCAAAATTACCCCCTCCCTATTTTGTGTTCCCTCAGACCTTACCAGTCAAGCCTAACAAGCAGGCTCTCCACAGGACTCACCATCCATCACTGACAGCTAACTCTTGATCAGACCAGCTGAACACCCTATGACTCCAAACCCCACACAGCCTGACCTGCCTCCCACACCCACTATAAAAGCATTTCCCTTAGCCAGTGGGGGAAACAGATTTTAGGTCATTTCTCCAGTTTGACGTTTTTCAGGTTGAAATTCTTTTCTTCTTTGACAATCTATCCTTGTTGTCTAAATAATTGGCTCTTTTCAGGGCAAGTGACAGGACCCAGGCTGGAGCCCTCTGTGTGTTCGGTGATGCCATGTCCGGTCAATACATGACTGATTTCACTTCTCTCCTCAAACACGCTTTTTCATCTCATGTCTCTATTCCTTTGAAATTGCTCACTTCTCTATTCAGAAAGCCTTTACCTCCACCCAGCATGCCTGACAAACTTCTATAAATCTTCTGAACTCTTATCAGGTGGAGTTTCCTCTTTGACAGCTACTCTGACATCTTATCCCCTCTTGAGTTACGTGATTTATACATGAAATACACGTGTCTGTGTTTACCTTCCCTGCACTATACTGTAAGCTCCTTGAGATCGGTGGGCTAGGCTCCTCCACATATCCCAGGGCCTAGAGCCTAGCAGGTTCTCGTGGAATATTTGTTGACGTGAGATAAACCATTCAGGGCCAGCCACAGCCCAAACACTCTCATGGAAGAATTGATCTGACCCCTAGGAAAGGGAAGACGAATGACCTGAAGGGACTTCTCCAAATTTTCACTGCAAGTTCCCAGCAAGCAGTCTCTAGCTGAGAACCCGGAGGTGGACTCCAGGCCAGGGCTTGTTCTAGAATTTGGGCTTCCCAGTGATCTGTGGGTGTTGAACAGGACCTTAAAGGCCAGCTGCAGTGGGGACAAGACTGTGAATGTAAATAATGGAAAATTATTCATCAGCTAAGTAATTATTTGTGATTGAAGCTGTCCGAGGAACCGAGCACACCTCCAGGAAGTCATAGAAAAGGACCGGCTCTGTTGAGCTCTTAAATCTCTCATTTCCACTCTGTGTGTCTTTGCCTCATCTCCTGGAAAGAGAGATAATTAAAAATGCTTTGTTTTCTTTTGTCACCAGCCCTTAAAGACTTGGTATGTTTGGGGCTGCGTATGAAGTGTGCATTTGGAGGACTGCTTCCACTTTTTTTCTTACCCTCTGAATCCCTGTACAGTTAATTAAAAGCAATGGCATCATCTCACTGCAACATGGCACACAATCCCATCTCCACCATCCGTCATCCTAATTAGCAAGGAGAGAAGGGATTTGTGTTCCTTCAGTTTGTATGCTCTAAAGCTAGCAAAATTCACAAGAGATGGACCTGGCTGTATCCAGCATGGAAATGT